ACATGCATACCTACGGGTCCAGAAGCACAGGCATACACACAAGAATACAAGCTTGCACATGCATATACACCCATGCAAACACACACATGAAGTGTCCCTATGTCTCTGAGATGGTTTGGTTCTCCAGTGTTGTCTTAGGGCCGCAGCCGATAATGGTCTCAAAGTAGAGGCGGTGATTCCACAATTAAAGAGATAATAAAGATTGGAGGGGTGACTTCTTGCTGCAGTCAGTCACATGACAGCAGTGTCAAGGGGTGAACACTTTCCCTCCTCTGCTCTGGTTAAATCCCTCCCTTTGCTGTGGGGTCCCAGGAGCCAGGTTGGGGTGAGGTCCCTCCTCTCAGCCCTCCAGCCTGGATCTCCCTCCCTCCCACCAGGCAGTTGCACGGGCAGAGTCCCGATGCTGAGGCCATGGGATCGCAGGACAGCCTCTCCCAGCGGTGGTCTCACCATCTGCTTCAAGGGAGGCCAGCGTGGGGATGGGGCTGTTTCGGGGGCCTTGGTCCTGCCAGTGGCCTGGGAAGGGCAAGCTGAGGCCTTGGTTCCTGGGGTGACCACACACTGTGTGCCGTCAAATGACAGCTGTGGAGGCCAGGGGTCCGAGACGAAGGCTGGGCCGTGCTGGTTCCTTCTGGAGGGTCATGGAACACTGCCTGTGCATCTGCTGGCTTCCAGTCATGCTGCAGCCCTTGGCATCCTTGGCTTGTGGTCACTCCAACCTCTGCCCCGTCTCGTGTGCCCTCTGCCCTCATCTTCTCTTACTGGACACCTGTTGTTGCACTGGGCTGCCCTGACCCAGGGGGCCCAGGTCCATCTTGACCTTGACTTTATCTAAAAGGCTCATGATGGACTTGGGAGCACAACTCAACCAGTCACCAGGTTGTCCCATCATCTCTTTACTGTCCCCGAAGTATGACCTCTGCTGCCACCGAGAGCAGGGTGGGAGCAGAGGTGGGCGGCTGGGGCCCAGGAGCCAAGCGCCATCTGTCCCGCGCCGGCCGTGTGGCCCACGTGTGACCCGTTTAGTGAGGAGTTGCCTGCACTGGACAGTGGGCTCCTGAGCCAGGTCGTGCGTGTCGTCTTCCCCACCACGCCTGTGCAGAGCAGGGCCTGGGCAGGTCAGACGGGAGGCCCCACATCTCCTTCCTGCTCCTCATCCCCCAGGACCCCAGGTGGCCAGAGCTTCCACGTCGGGTTGGCAGAGCCCTGGGGGTGCCCCGCAGTGGGACTCTGGACGCCTTAGCCCTGCAAGATCGCCAGCTGTGAGGCGGTCTCCATTCAACACTGACCCCAGGAGCCCCCTCCCTGACTCTGCCTGCCGCGGTTTATGTTGTGCGAGGTCCAGAAACGTCTCTGCAGCCAGGCCTGTGGAGGGGGTCAGCCCAAGGGGCGTCCCCAACGCCCACCCCCGTCCTGTGCCAGCTGCTCTAGGTCAGGCCTGTCCGACGTGTGCCCCCGGCCTGGCCACCGTCCTCAGCCCAGGCCAGTGTCTAGCACAGCTGGAATCAACTAGCAATCGACCAGTGCGTGCAGAGCCAAGCTGTGACGCAGACGGTCACAGCGGGTGCCAGGGAGGGTCCCCTCCGCCCAGTGACAGTGTGTATACGTGATCTAGACGCTGGAGGGAGAGCCCTGATCACAAAGTCCCGGGCTCTGGAGCCTGGCTCGTGGGGCAAGAACAGGCAGAGGGCCTCCCTGCTGATGCTGAGAAGAAAAGCAGGGTCTCAGGAGAGTGGGTATCTGTCAGGGGGAGCAGGTGCACACTTGTATTTTATTCGAGGAGGGAAGGCTGATGGGCGCAAGCAGTGTCAGAGCAGGTAAAGCAGCCCTGCATCACCCCGGGGGGGAGGGGAATGTGCGTTTGAGGAGCAGCAAGGAGGCCCCGTGGCCACAGCAAAGTGGACGAGGCAGGAGGGGAGAGAATGAGCCCGCCGAGGCCACCACCTGCTCCTGGGACCCGTGGCTCCTCCCCAGGGAGCAGAGGTGAGCCCCCAGCTCTGTGTTAACCAGACCCGCCAGGTAAGAGGGGAAGGGTCTTCTCGGCACCTGTATGTGTCTCTCGGCCTCCGTTTCTCTGCGTGATGAGAGGTGACAGGAGGCTGCTCTAGGCTCTGTCGGCCTGGGTCCCCCTCTTCCCCATACTTTATGGGCTGGGCCTAGATATTCACAGACGGACCTTTAGAAATAAACAGTCATGTTTAGAACTAATTTCTATTTATGGCAGGTGATGCTGGTTTGCCATTTATAGCAGTGGCAGAAACTGCTTTTATTTTTTTTTTAACTTTTTATTTTGTATGGGGTATAGCCAATTAACCATGTGGTGATAGTCTGAGGTGCACAGCCAAGGGACTCAGCCATTCATACACATGTCAAACTCCCCTCCCATCCAGGCTGCCACGTAACATTGAGCAGAGTTCCCTGTGGTTATCCATTTTGAATACAGCAGTGTGTACATGTCCATCCCAAACTCCATAACTATCCCTTCCCCACCACTCCTTCCCCAAGTTCGTTCTAAGTCTGTGAGTCTGAGAAACTGCTTTTAAATGTGTTTACTGTAGTATAAGAATGTGTTTGCTGTCAGGGACAACCCACAGACAGAACTGGAGGGGGCTCGGCGTTAGTCTGCACTGTGGGGGTAACCGGCATGTCCAGAGGGGGAGCCCCCACCACAACCACCCCAAGGCTATGATAATTGGGCCCCGAGTCTGCCCTCAGGCCAGCGGTGCCTGAGGGTGCCCTGGAGGGTCAGGGACAGAAGTGCTAGAGAAACATCACTTTATCACAGGATATTGAATCCAGCCCCCTGTGCTCTTCAGCAGGGTCTTATTGTTCATCTAGTTTATATGTAGTCCTTTGTATCTGCTAATCCCAACTCCCACTCCATCCTTCCCTCACCCCGTCCTTCCCCTTTGGTAACCGTAGGTTTGTTCTCTGTGAGTCTTTCATAAATTAAGTTCATTTGTATCATACTTTAGATTCCACAATATAAGTGCTATCATATATTTGTCTCTGACTTAACTTCATTTAGTATGATAATCTCTAGTTCCTCCCACGTTGCTGAAAATGACATTATTTCATTCTTTTTATGGCTGAGTAATATTCCACTGTTATGTATATACCACATCTTTATTCATCTGTTGATGGACACAGTGCCTTGGCTATTGTAAGTAATGCAGCTGTTAACATTGTGGTTATATGTGTCTTTTCAAATTAAGAGTTTTCTCTGGATATACACCTAGGAGTGGGATTGCTAGAAAATATGGTAAGTCTATTTTCAGCTTTTTAAGGAACCGCCATACTGTTCTCCATGGTGGCTGCACCAATTTACACTCCCACTAGCAGTGGAAGAGGGTTCCCTTTTTCTACATCCTCTCCAGCATTTATTGCTTATAGATATTTTTGATGATGGCCATTCTGACCAGTGTGATGTAATAATTCATTGTGGTTTTGATTTGCATTTCTCTATTAGTAAGGGCTTCCCTGGTGATTCAGTCGGTAAAAAAATCCACCAGCAATGCAGGAGACCCAGGTTCGATCCCTTGGAGGAGGAAATGGCAACCCACTCCAGTATTCTTGCTTGGAGAATTCCATGGACAGAGGAACCTGGTGGGCTACAGGGGTTGCAAAGAGTCAGATGTGACTAAGCACCTTAGCATGCACAGTTATTAGTGAGGTTGAACATCTTTCCATATGCCTGTTGGCCATCTGTATATCTTCTTTGGAGACATGTATATTTAGGTCTTCTGCCCATTTTTTGATTGGGTTATTTGGTTTTTTGTTATTTATTTGTATGAACTGTTTGTATATTTCAGAAATTAAGCCCTTATCGATTACATCATTTGCAAATATTTTCTCCCAGTCTGTAGGTTGTCTTCTCACTTTGTTTAAAGTTTCCTTTGGTGTGCAAAACTTGTGTTTATTTTTGCTTCTATTGCCTTAGGAGACTGACCTAAAAAAAAAAAAAAACGAAACACTGCTATGTTTTATGTCAGAAGAGAACATAGGCAAAACATTCTCTAAGAGTTTTATGGTGTTGTGTCTTATATTTTTTTGTGTATGGTGTGAGTGAGTGTTCTAACTTCATTTACATGTGGCTGTCCAGCTTTCCCAACACTACTTGCTGAAGAGACTCAAACATGTTCTGAAGGGGCCAGATAGCAAATGTTTTAGGCTTTGCAAGTAATGTAAGCTCATCACAGCCACTTAGCTCAGCTGTTGTGCAAAATCAAGCCACAGACAATGTGTAAATGAATGAACCTGGCCATGTGCCAATAAAACTTTATTTACAAAAAACAGGCAGTGGCAGACAGATTTGGCCCATAGGCCAGAGTTTACTGATCCTCAGAGGCCCCTCAGTGATTTGCAACTACCCACGAAGGTCTAGACACCTTACCAGGCACTGCTCTCTCGGGGTGCTGCACTGGCGGCTCCTGGCGAGGTCTGGCTGCAGGAGGGCTGGGGAACCCCTTCAGTGCCCAGAAACGCACTGCCCCCATCCAGCTTTATTTGCCTCCTAAAACCCACACCTCTATCCGAACACCAACCGCTCCTTCCAGGCAGCATGCAGACACAGTCTGCTGGTGTGCAGATAACAGGGTCGGGGTTCAACTTCCCTTCTCCTCTTTGAATTTCTGACACTGAAGATGCTAAAGCAATGAGGTCCCTGCAGACACACATCTGGGGTCGCCTCTCTTTGCACACTTCCACCCTGATTTTACAGACCTCAGTGTCTTACAGTCCAAGCCCCCTTTTCCTTCCTTCTACTTTGATCCACACTTGTGAAAGCCAAGTGCTGGGATGAAGGCAAAGACCTTGCTACCCACTGTGAGTGAGGAAAATGTTCTTCTGCCAGGTCACCTGCCAAGCACCCAGCGCCCAATACCCTGGGCAGGAAGGGGACCCAGCAGCAGCTGAGTCCATCCAGGGAATATGTTTCTTTGATGAAAGATAAATAGCTAAACCCAAACTGCTGCTCTGTTCTTCCCTCTTGTCCCTTCTAGAAAGTCCAGCAGTACATGGTCATCATTCAGGCCACAGACATGGAAGGGAACCTGAACTACGGCCTCTCCAACACAGCCACCGCCATCATCACAGTGACGGACGTGAACGACAACCCACCGGAGTTCACCACCAGCACGGTGAGTGCGTGTCCCTTCCTGAATCTGGAGGAGTTGGCCACTGGTGTTCAGGCTCCAGGGAGAGGCTGACGCGTCGGCCACTTTGGGGTGTGCTCGGCAGACAGGCTGCGGGATGCAGGGGGACATGCCAGGTCCCTCTGGCAGGACCCTCCACAGCCCACCATCAGCAGGAGGGCAGTGGGGGACCCCATGTGTCCTGCCCCTTCAGGCACGGCAGGCAGGCTGTGACCAGGCCACGAGCCAGGCTGCCCACCAACCTGAGTGCCCACAGGAATGGCCTAGTGGCACAGCCATGGGATCACAGAGCCACCAGGAGTCACAGGCTCCCAACTCCTCTAGGTTCCCAAGGAGCTGTCCTTTGGTCCATTCGCCTGGGATGGAGGTGCTGACAGGACAGAAACCTACACCCACCCCGGAAATGTGGTGGGTGGTGGGAGCGTGGTCAGTGAGGGCTCCCGGGGCACCGAGCAGATGAGAGAGTAACTGCAACAAATGAAGACCTGGGGCACCAACCAGGCCGCAGAGCCCCTCTCCCCCAGCACCAGCCTGGGCCTCTAGTCAACCTGTGGTCCCCACCAACCCCGTGAGGCTCAGGACCCAGTTATGGGAGAGGAGGTTGAGGCTCAGAGAGGCTAAGTCACTTACCCAGAGCCACAGAGTCCACGAGGGGAGCAGCTGGGAGTGGGCCCCAGAAGCTGAGCTCTCAGGGGAAGGAGAGGAGAACCCCCGGCTCCCAGGAGGTGCGTCAGCTTGCTGTGGAGGCATCTCACAGGCCAGAGCCCCTCGCAATGAGCCCACGTCAGCATCCCCTCATCCTGCTTCCCCACAGCCCCCACACCCTTCAATCCCAATCTCGCAGCCCTCCGTCCTGCATCCTAGAGTCCCAGGCTCTAGGTCCGGTTGGACCAAGGCGGGAATAGGGCAGTCCCAGCTGTGAGGACACAGTGCCACCTGGTGGGCAGATGGCAGATAGCCCTGTGGGGTCAGGGTGGGATAGCTTCCGTTTTGTGGGCTCTCCAGGGCCAGGCGGCAACGTCCAGGGAGTCTGGACATGAGTGAGACATCCCCCCAGCCCATCCCCAAAGCAGCCCCCATCCTTCTGGGGTTTTTCTGTTCTCAGCATGGATCCTTGGAAACTTTCAGAACAAATTTTCATTGTGTCTCCCAACTTAATCGTTCTCTTTTAACTTGAATTTTGGTTAGGTCATTCACACACACAGCACAACAACTTAAAGTTACAAAATGACTTACTTTGAGGAAGAGGCCCTGGTGTTTTAATTCTGTCCTTGTGTCCTTTCTAGTTTTCTGTTTATGATGTATCCTGAAGACATTTCCACATCCAGATTCCAAATGGCCTTGGAATTTTTTCAACATGTGTTTAGAAATAAAGTCAAGTTCACAGAAAGGTTGCAAGAATAGGAATGGGGAATAGAGGAGAAGGCAGGATGGTAGAGTAGAAGGCCTTGAGCCCATCTCCTACCACAAAACTCAAAATCACAACTGCTGAACAGTCATCAATAAAAAAAGACTGGGACTTGCCAAAAGAGATTTTCTACATCCAGGGGTATAAAGAAGAAACTACAACATGATGGGGGGAGAGCACTCTCACAATGTAAACAAATCCCATCTCAGGAAAGGTCAGTTAAACTAAAAATTGGTTCTTTGAGACTACTACAGGCAACCATATGGCAATAAATTAGACAACCTAGAAAAAAATGGACAAATTCTTAGAAAGGTACCATCTCCCAAAACTGAACCATGCAGAAATAGAAAATATGACCAGACCAATAACAAGTACTGAAGTTGAGTCTGTGATTTAAAAACTCCCAACAAACACGAGTCCAAGACCAGATGGCTTCACAGGTGAATTCCATCAAACATTTAGAAAAGAGTTAACACATATCTTTTTGAAACTATTCTGAAAAATTGCAGAGGAAGAAACAACTCATTCTATGAAGCTACCATCACCTTGATACCAAAATCAGGCAGATGCTTCAAAAGAGGAAAATTACAGTCCAATATCACTGATGAACATAGATGCAAAAATCCTCAACAAAACACTAGCAAACAGAATCCAACAACACATTAAAAGTATCAATCAATTTAAAAAAAGACTGGGACATCCCACCATAAGCAAGGAGAATTCATCCCAGGGATACAAGTATTTGTCAACATCTGCAAATCAATCAGTGTGAACCACCAAATTAACAAATTGAAGAATAAAAACCATATGATCATCTCAATAGATGCAGAAAAAACTTTTGATAAAATTCAACACTCATTTATGATAAAAAACTGTCCAGAAAGTGGGCATAGAGGGCACCTACCTCAACATAATAAAGGCCATGTATGACAAACCCACAGTTAACATCATACTCAGCTGTGAGAACGTAAAAGCATTTCTTCTAAGGTAAGAACAAGACAAGAATGTCCACTCTTGCTGCTTTTATTTGGCATAGTTTCGGGAGTCCTAACCAAGGCAATCATAGAAGAAAAATAAATAGAACTTATCCAAACTGGAAAAGAAGTAAAACTGTCACCGTTGGCAGATTACATGATCCTATACAGGAAAATCCTAAAGATGCTACCAGAGCTATCAATGAATTTGGTAAAGTTGTAGTATACAAAATTAATGTGTAGAAATCTGTTGCATTTCTACAGATTTATAATGAAAGATCAGAAGGGAAATTAAGAGAACAATCCCACTTAACATCACAACAAAAAGAATAAAATACATAGGAATAAACCTACCTACAGAGACAAAAAACCTATACTCAGAAAATATGAGACACTGATGAAAGGAATTAAAGACAACACAAACAGATGGAGAAATACACTAAGTGGATTGGAAGAATCAATATTGTCAAAATGACTCTACTACCCAAGACAACCTACAGATCCAATGCAATCTTGATCAAATTACCAATGGCATTCTTCACAGAACTGGAACAAAAAATTTCACAATTTGTATGGAAACACAAAAGACCCCAAACAGCCAAAGAAATCATGAGAAAGAAAAACGGAGCAGGAGGAATCAGGCTCCCTGACTTCACACTATACTGAAAGCTGCGGTCATCAAGACACTATGATACTGGCACAAAAATAAAAATATAGACCATTGGAACAAGATAGAAAGTTTAGAAATAAACCCACACACACCTATGGTCACCTAATCTATGACAAAGGAGGCAAGAATATATAATGGAGAAAAGACAGTCTCTTCAGTAAGTGGTGCTTGGAAAACTGGACAGCTATGTGTAAAAGAATGAAATTAGAACATTCTCTAATATACAAAAACTCAAAATGGATTAAAGACTTAAATATAAGACCAGATACTATAAACTTCTAGAGGAAAATATAGGGAGGATGCTCTTTGACATAAATCACAGCAATATATCTTTAGATCCATCTTCCAGAGTACTGAAAAAAAAAAAAAAAAACAAATAGGGACTTCCTGGTGGTCCAGTGGCTAAGACTCCTCACTCCCAATGCAGGGGGCCAGGTTCAATCCCTGGTTAGGGAACTAGATCCCACATGCCTCAACTAAGACCCAGAGCAGCCAAATAAATAAATATTTTAAATAAATTTAAAAAAAACAAATAGGACCTAATAAAACTTTAGAGTTTTTACACAGCAGAGCAAACCATAAATAAAAGGACAACCTACGGAATGGGAGGAAATACTTGCAAATGAAGCAACTGATGAGGATTTAATCTCCAAAATACTCAAACAGCTCGTGCGGCTCAATATAAAAAAACCACCCAATCAAAAAATGGGCAGAAATAAAAATTTTTTTAAAAAGGGAAGAAAACCTAAGTAGACATTTTTCCAGATAAGATATAGAAATAGCCAAAAGGCACATGAAAAGATGGTCAACAATGCTAATTAGTAGAGAAATGGAGATCAAAACTGCAGAGATACCACCTCCCACCAGTAAGAATGGCCATCATTTAAAAGCCTACAAACAACAAACGCTGCAGAGGCGGTAGTGAAAAGGGAGCCCTCCTACACTGTTGGTGGGAATGCAGACTGGTGCAGCCACTATGGAGAACAGTACGGCGGTTCCTTAAAAAACTGAATACAGATCTAGATATTACCCAGCAGTCCCACTCCTGGGCATATATAATCCAGAGAAAACCATAATTTGAGAAGATGCACACACCCCAGTGTTCACTGCAGCACTATTTACAACAGACAGGACATGGGAGTAATTTAAGTGTCCACTGAGACAGGAATGGATAAAGGTGTGGGACATAATGGAATATTACTCAGCCATAAAAAAGAATGAAATAATACCATGTACAGCAACAGGGACGGATGATGATCACAGTAAATAAAGTCAGACAGAGAAAGACAAATACAGTATGATATCACTTATTTGTCAAATCTAAAAAATGATACAATGAATTTCTTTACAAAACAAAACAGACTCAGGGACTTGGAAAACAAGCTTATGGTTATCAAAAGGGAAGTGGGGAGAGGAGTAAATTAGGAGTTTTGGATTAACATATATACACTACTATATATAAAATAGATAATCCACGAGGACCTATGTATAGCACAGGGAACTCAGCATTTTTAACCTATATGGCGAAAGAATCTGAAAAAGAATATACATATCTATACATACAACTGAATCACTTTGCTGCACATCTGAAACTAACAGACACTGTAAATCAACTAGACTTCAGTTAAAAACAACAGCCACTCACGTGACCCCATCAGCACCATCCTCCATACCTGCCGCTCCCTGTAGACATGCCCACAGAATTCCTCTGAACAGCTAGATGATCAGCCATACGTTGTAAAGCCTCATGTTCAAACACCTCTTCCTAAGAGGAGGGTTTTCTGTCAGGGAAATGGCTGAGACCCTTTTCCCACCAGAGACACCTGAGGCTCAGAGAGTTACTTTTGGGCCGCCCGAGGTCTCCTGCTCCCCTGGCCACCTGCTCACCACACCCCTGTCCTCCGAGACCCTCCCAGCTCCCAGGCCCTCTGCACCTGCCAGCCCTCCCCCACCGCGGCTTCTGCAGCTCCAGAGGGGGCCTCGAGGCAGCCCCTACACCCAAGCTCCTGCAGGGCGGGTCCACGGGGGACCACTTCCGTCCACTGTCTCGAGCCCTGGTCTGGCTTTGACAGCCTGGCGTCCTGTGGCTCTTCGTGCTTCTAATCTTAACCTCATCTGCCCTTCTGCACACCAGCCACACTGCAAACACGCTGAGCCCCCAGAAATGCTGGATCCTGGGTGACCCACAAGGAGGCAAAGGGGAGGGGGACAGGAGGAGGAGGAGGACACCGTCCTGACTCCTTATGTGCACCAGGGCATCTGCACAAGGGCAGGGGGATGACCAGCAAGATACTCCCAGGTCCACACCCACCTCTGAAGAGTGGGAAGCCCAGGAATTACACTGAGACCCCAGCCAGGGTGTGCATATGACCAAGGAGGCATCCTGGAGCATGTTCTTGGGGCCCCGTGGCAAGCAGGACCCCAGGACACGGTCTGCTGGGCTCAGTGGGGGCTGGCCACACCCCCACACACAGCTGGGCTATTTTTGTCGAGTTTAATCAAGAACAATCAGCAGAAGCTGAAGAGATGGGAGGGTGGATTTGCATGAGCCGATTCCTATTCTTAAACGTTAATTAAAAGTCATTTTCCCTTTGCCCGCTCTGGGCCTGCACTACGCTTGCTGCCCCTGCATGGCTTTCCTGCTGTCAGAAGGCCACTGACCTCAGCACCCCCTGGGGGGCAGGGCTGAGCCCCCAGAACACAGCCCCACAGCAGCCCCCATCCTAGACCAAAGCCCCAAGACCCAGCCCCCTCACCACCCACACACAAGCCCACAGGAGGGTCTCCTGGAGTCAGGAAACCCCTTCTGCCCCCAGAGTCCCTGTTGTGTGACCTTGGGCTGATGGCCAGACCTCTCTGAACACAGGAATGTCTTCCCCTCTTTACACCTGGGGGTTACACAGCTCAGGGTGAAGCCGGGAGCATCCATTGAACTACAGGGAAGTTTGTTCTCTGCCCTAAAAATGCCACTGGGTGGTACCTGCCTTCCATCACAAGGGGCCTGACTTGGCAGTTGAGTAGACAGGTTTCCAGCTCTTCCTTCAGCAGGGGAGAGGTCAGGATGGAGGTGCCAGAACATTCATTCCAAGTCCAGTTTCCTCATCTGTTAAAAAAAAAAAAAGGAGGATGGTAAAGGAGGTGATCAGAGAAATTCTTATATGTTGATACAATCAATACAACAGAACCACTTGAGACAAACATGAAGTGATGTATAATATTCTAATATGGAAAATCCTCCAAATAGATTAATCACTGAAAAGCCAGTGGACAGGAGAGGTGAAGAGCACAACGATCCTTTTCTTGTAAATAAACTATATTATGTAAATATCAAAAGAGGAGGCCGGGAGTCCTGCAGGTACATAGTTGTAGACTGTGGTAGGTTCGTTTTCACTGTGTATTTGACTAGATGACCCCATCCAAGACAAGCGTGAATAAAATTAGGTTAAATATTTTTTAAAACAGGGACTTACCTGGCTGTCCAGTGGCTAAGATTCCCTACTCCCAGTGCAGGGGGCCTGTGTTCAGTCCCTGGTCAGGGAACTAGACCCCACATGCCACAACTTCAAAGATCCCACATGACACAAAAGGTCACACGTGCTACAGCTAAGACCTGGTAGAGCCAAAAAATACGTATCTTTAAGATGGAGGGTGAGCTTCTGGCGGTTCCCATCCCAGGATTCCCTGAAGATGGAAGAGAGGACAAGCCCCAGTACCCTCCTTTCTGGAAAGGGGGTGACCAAGCCCACCTGTGAACCACAAAGCCAGGCAGGGGCTTCAAGGTGTCTTGTGGCTGAGGGTCGGGTCCTCCCCTGAGCCAGTGTCACGGGGGCACATCCCCACGTTACTCACGAGCACCTACCACATCACCTCGAGGAGGGGCGAGGCTGCAGCGTCCCACCCGGTCCCGGGCCCTGGGCTCCTCCCAGGGGTGGAGGAGGATGAACGTCAGCCCCCAGGTCTCACCCCGTTATTATGAGCCACGGCTCCCACCTGTCGGCTCCTGATTCCAAACTCAGCAGCCAACAGAAATCACTGCAGTTTCACTGGACAGGAAACTAAACTTCAAAGATTAAAATCACTGGGACATTGTGCTGCCCCCACCTCCAACCCCTTGCACCAGCCACCCCAAGCTCCATCCCCCTCAGCCCGTATCCCTGAGCTGGGACTTCCCTCCCTGTGGAGCCCCCAGGGCCTCACGTGTAGAAAAATGGAGAGAGGAGCCCAGAAGTGCAGGGTGGATAGGAGAGAAGAGGAGGAGACTGGAAACCCCAACTGCAAATAACAAACTGAAAAAATATACATTAAAACTATTGGGATGTCACTTCCCAACAGAAGCCAACTCAGCCCCTCAGGCCCCAAGGCTGGTGGGGCTCGACCACATCCTGGCAGGACAGGGCTACCAGGGCAGATCCCCAGGCAGGGGCCAGGTCGGGGCAGCCCCTTGCAGTTCACACCCTCGGCCATACCAGGCTCCCGGGCCCTGGGAGAAGGTGGCAGGAGGGGCAGGTCCTCAGACCTGAGCCGAGATGGGACCAGTCATGGCTTGAATAGGGGGCACATAGCAACATCTCGGGGGCTTGGCGTCCCCCAGGGTGTGGGGGGCAGGCGCTGTCATCTCCATCTGCTTGGCCCAGCTGAGGGGTCGCTGGGCTTCCCTGTTCTCCCCCCCAACTCTTCTGCTACCGTGACCCTCCCTTGGGAGGAGTTAGGATTGAACAGGAAATCCACCTGCCCCTGGGGTGGGTAGTTGTGAGTTCTGGATTACCGATCAGCAAGGCAAGAAATCCCATTCCAACGCTCCTTAAATCCCTCCTTTCCCAAATATCTGCCTTAGTATCCCATGGGGCATGGGGGAGGCTTTCCCTGTGCCTGAAAACCCCAGAAATTAAATTAAAAACTCAAGATAGCTAGGGGAAGGCTGACAAGAAAATCCTAAACCAGACTTACCAGCTTAAGGCCCTTCTTTGCAAACCTTTATTAAACCTGCATGAAATTAAAATACCCTTTTCCAATAAACTTCACCCAGAAGTCGGTAACCATGGTTAGGGCTGCGCTGCTGTGAACACAAGGAAGCCCTGGCTATTTGTCCAGGTTTGTGCCCAGCTTTTGTGGCCCGAAAGCACACTGCGCAGTCATAGGTCAGTCATGTGACTTGCAGGTCCCGTGTTAAAGTAAGGATGCAGGGTCCTCGTTCACAAGGAAGAATTTCCAGACTGATGCAGAGCGTAAACCCAGCTCAGGGCTCTTCTGAGCTGGGCCATGTCTGCACAGCAGTGATTCTCACTGGTGAGAGGTGCTCAGCTTTCTATCAGCACCTCAGCACCAGCACCAAACAGCCATGCACACTCACCACACTTTGCCTGCCCATAACCACTGCTGCCCTGTGAACAACACTCGCTGACGGGGATGGCTCAAAGCCCTCACCGAGCTGCGATAGGAAAAAATGGGCCAAGGCTCCGTGTCTGGTCACCTGCCCAGCCGCAGCTGCTGACCACAGACCCCAGGGCCCATCAGGGACCCAGAGGCGATTCGGTTCAGGAAGCCCTTTGCAGCTGCCACCCACTCCTGTTCATTTCCCGTCCCACGAGCACATTTTACTCTCTCGTAAGCCCCAGGTACTAGCATTGGTCCCCCGCTGCAAGGACCAGGGCAGCGTGAAGGGGACTTAGGGGAGCAACCTGGCATTCGGGTGTTACAGGCGGGGCTCGGTATGCAGACAAGCCTGGGCCTCTCTGGACGCCCCTGGGTTGGCACAGACATGGGATGGGCCGAACCCTGGGGATCACTGTTTGGAAGCAGCTGGAGGCAGAGGGCAGCCCCCAGGGTGGGCGGGGGTCTCCTTGATCTCACCAGGCTTCCATGTGGGTTCCTCACACTGTCTTTTCTGATACCCTACAGTATGCAGGGGAAGTCCCAGAAAACCGGGTGGAGATGGTGGTGGCGAACCTCACGGTGATGGACCGAGATCAGCCGCACTCTCCAAACTGGAACGCCGTCTACCGCATCATCAGTGGGGACCCCTCGGGCCACTTCAGCGTCCGCACGGACCCCACCACCAACGAGGGCATGGTCACTGTGGTTAAGGTGGGTGCTCCCTCATTTCCCGCCCCAAGACAGACGTAACGGAAACGACGTCCAGGTTCAGTGCCTACACTCCCAAAAGCCAGGGTCAAAGGCAGTCTCACAAGGACCAGTCACATGACCCCCAGGACGCTGCCAGTGTGACCTGCCATCCCCCGCCCCACCAAGAGAGAACTCTCCCATCTTCTCCCCACACCCGGCCCAAAGCTCCCAAAGCTCGAAAGCTGAGAATCCCCCTCTCCTGCTTCCCCTCAGGAGGTGACAAGCCTTGTCGGGGGCAGTGAGCAAACTGTGACCCAGGTGCCTGGAGGAGGGTCAGGGAGGAGGGAACACCAGGGAGCAGGCCAGCTCAGGGGTCGCAGTCCCTCCAGCCCCTCCTCCCCCTGCAGCTCCCAGAGCAAGGCTTCCCCTGGAGCCTCCTGACCGTGGGGACAGTGCGGCTCCCGGGTTCCCCACAGGCTCTAGTGCCCCCGGCCCAAGAGCCTGCACCCCGCACTGAGCTACTCCCTCTCGGGGCATAGACCAGCCCCTGGGCTTTGAGCAAGGGGTCGTGTCCATGTCGGGGGAGGCAGCCAAACAGAGACCAGGTGAGTGTGTCAGACTCCGACTGAAGAGTGGGAACAAATCACCTATTGATTTCCCCATTACAGTTGATCATTTTCCCCGTTACAATTGGTCATATTCCCTGTTACAATTGATCATATTCCCCATGACAAATATGCTTTCCTTTCCCTCCTGTGGACCTTACTGGCCATGACTGTCCTCTGGAAGGTGTCCTCGCTCATGATGACACAATTTTAATGCAAATGCAGCATTATCCCACGTCCTCCAGGGACACGACCTGACACACACGGGAGAAAGATCACTTCCTCCAGTGACTTGTTCGCAGACGAAACCACTGTAATCCTATGAAACAGTGTATTCAAGCGAAGTGGCCCCCATTTTACTCTCAGGGGGGCCCTGGGGGAGGGGCTGGAGACCTGGCAGCCGCACAGGTCTTGGCGGGGCTGGGGGGCCTCAGCCATGAAGGGGTAAGTGCCATGGAGGGATGGGGTGCCTCACTGGGGGCTCTGGGGGGGTCTGTGAGACACCCCTTTTATCGGCAGATGAGACCACGCCTGCGGAGGAAAAGAGTCCCTTCAGGGTCATCAGGGGTGGTGAGGGGACAGTGGGGAGGAGATGAGGGTGTCGGCCCCAGGACCCCGATCTCTGCCGCAGCCTCCAGGCCCTCCCGTGGGCAGGCATCCTCAGCCCCCTTTCTACGCCCACCCAGTTAGATTACTTCTTAAACTCCTTCCTGTACTCCATAGCTTATTTAGTAACAGAGGCTGAAAAGGCATGAGTTTGATGTACCAGGCGTTATGACTAAACGCTTACAGAGACTGTGGTGGGAGTCCAGACAGGGCGGGGGCACCTCAGCTGGGCAAGCAGGGGGCCCGCCTCCAGCACCCACAGGTCTCACAGGACCACTGGCCCCACGAGGCCATCAAGTCCCCTTTAGCAGAGATGTGTCGCAGTACTTATCACAGACGTTTCCAAGGGCACCTAGCCGTGAGAGACAGGAGTGCCGCGCCTGGCACTGCAATTCCCTGGTTGCTAGCGTTGCTCTATCCATGCTTCCAGACCTCAGGATGCCATCCTCTGCTCTCCTAACCATGTACCACTACAGCCCCTGGCACAGCCAGCCACACCTCTGCAGTCTCCAGGATGTGTCCACACCTAACTTCTCTCCATTTTCCTAAAGCCATCTCTTTGCTGTGCCATTTTTCGAGTCTGGATCCCAAAAGGGTCCCAACACTGTGTTTGGTTGCACCATCTCTTGAATTTCTCAACACTGAGACCATCCCCCACCCCAGTGCCGACCTGTCACAAACTCAGGGTCCGTGGTGCCAGCCCTGTCGATGGCTTCCTCGTGGTACATCTGGTCCCTCATTTTAGAGGACTTGCTTCCTTACCATCTCGAATCTTTCAGCCATTCATTCACATGAACACTTCATCCAAACTGAACATGGGAGGGGTTTACTTAACTTCATTGCTTTTTGTACTTGATCTCACTTCTCTTACACTGAAACTCTTGGTTGGCACCAAACAATGTTAATTGCTAATTTACTTGAACCTACAACACACAGTTGCCGCTCCGCGTCCATGGGGTGACTGGTCCCAGGACCTCCAGCTCAGGGAGACACCAAAATCCACAGATGCTCAAGTCTTTCATATAAAATGGCACAGTATTTCCACACAACCTGCACATACTCTCACATATATTTTAACTTATGAAACCTGATACAATACCAACACTGTGTAAATAGACGCCTGTGTGTGGCAAGTTCAGGGTCTGCCTTTTGGAAATTTCTGGAATTTTTTTCGATTATTTCCAGTTGGTGGTTGGTTGAGTCCACAGATGTGAAACCCATGGATATAGAGAACTGACTGTATGTAAAAAACTTAAAAAATAACAAACCAAACATCACTGCCAACACCAGGAAGACCAAATGAATTTAAGACTTTTCTGCAATAACTGTTATCCTCAGAATAAATACCATGAAGGACTCACGATCTAAATACTGTCCTTGTCACTAGAAGTCATTATTTTCTTGGGATTTGTATTACCATTGAGCATCACCAACTCAATGGACATGAATCTGAGCAAACTCCAGGAGACAGTGGAGGACAGAGGAACCTGGCATGCTGCAGTCCAAGGGGTTGCAGAGTCGGACATGACCTAGCCACTGAACAACAACAACAAGATTTTATGTGGCTCCAAAAATCAAAGCTATACGGCAAAACATGCAGCAAACTCATGCCCCCTGACTCCCCTCCACCGGGTCCTTCCCTCTGCTCAGGGGTGACCATTTTAACAAGGTTTTTTTTTTCCTCTTTTCAGCATGTCTTTCTAGAAGTATGAGCAGGTACATACACAAATCCACACTCCTCTCCCCCTTTCACACAAGAGGCAGCACATGAAGGATGTTGCCTTTTCAGCTCACCAATCCATCCTGGAGGTCTCGCCACTTCTGTGTGCATCGCCCTGGTTCTTACAGCTGCAAATGTCCCCACTGTGTGGACGCAGCTCGTCCACCCACCAGTGCCGTGAAAACTGCGGCATCCTCCGTGAACGATACAGATGATGCTGTGGTGAACGTTCTTGGGCACGTGCTACTTCACATGCATCCAAGCAGAATTATTCAAGTTCAGTCGCAGTGAGACTGCTGCGAGCTCTGCCACAAATAATTACACGTCTTGGGGCCCCAGGTAGTTCTGTGCAGCTTTCGTCCTCCTCAACACGTGAAGATGAATCCGCAGGCCAGCCACACCCTGCAGACCACACCAGCGCTTATCAGTCAGGGTCCTAACACCCCAACACGTGTGTGAACTGGAAAGAATGTTCACACAGGGGCCCACACAGAGGTGAAGGGCCCACAAGCCCTCAGGGGCTGGTATCCTGTAACTCACCCCTGACCGGATGGGTGACAACAACTGAAGAGCGTCCTCTCACAGCTCTGGGAGGGTCCCCCCAGCCTTGTCCAGTTCCTGGTGCTGTCCTTGGCTGGATCCATACCACCCCACCTCTGCCTCTGCACCTTCACCTGGCCCCTCCCTGCATCTCAAGTCTCCCTCCCTTGACTCCCAGGTGCCTGTGCTTGGACTGGGGGCCACCTCAATCCAGCACAACACCTCTCAAGACCTTCCCCTTCATCACACCTGCAAAGACCCTATGTGCCCAAAGGGCACATTCACAGGCTCCAGGTGGACACATCTTTGGGGGCCACCCCTGCAGCCGCCACAGCACGTGAGCAGCCTGGACAGACAACAGCCCCCCAGGGTGTCAGGAGCAGGGTGGGGGCTCCACACTCCCAATGCAGGATGAGAGCTGGAGGCCTGGTTGGGGGGCACCTGGGGGAACTGTGGCCCCCAGGGAGCCCAGCTGCTGCCACTCCATGACTTGGGGGTGGAAGGTGAGGTGTGAGGTCCTTCAACCCCACTCTCTCTCTCCTCCCACTGCCCTAACCCCACAGGAAACCAGACACAGAAGCTGGGGGACAGCATTCCTGGGGACCGGCCTCTTGGGCCCAGAGCTAGCAGGTGCAGACCAAGCAGCCCCGTGGGCACTAAGCCGGCTGCCCCTCTTGGTGCCTCTCATTCCAGGCAGTCGACTATGAGCTGAACAGAGCATTCATGCTGACTGTGATGGTGTCCAACCAGGCGCCCCTGGCCAGCGGGATCCAGATGTCCTTCCAGTCCACAGCCGGGGTGACCATCTCCGTCATGGACATCAACGAGGCCCCCTACTTCCCCTCCAACCACAAGCTGATCCGCCTGGAGGAGGGTGTGCCCACTGGCACCGTACTCACCACGTTCTCAGCAGTGGACCCCGACCGGTTCATGCAGCAGGCTGTGAGGTGGGCCCGCAGAGCGCCCTCGGGCCCTGGGAAGGGGTGCCCCGTGCTCCACAGAGAAGAATCCTAAAGTGCCCCGTGAAACCTGAGAACTGGAAAGTCCTGGGTGGGTGATTAGGGTGCCTCTAGGCAGGGAGGCCCTGTCTGGAGACAGCTGGATCACCAGCCACCCGGCTGCCCTGACACAAGACAGTGGGAAATGCTTGAAGGACATTAATCCACGTCTAGCATCAGACTGGGTATGGACCCCACCTCTCATTCCTGAGCTGTGTGACTTTGCAAGTCACCAGCCCTCTCTGCTCCTCCGTCACCCCTCTGTAAAGGGGGGTGATAGGAGAATCTGCCTCCCACGGTTCTTGTGAGGTTAAGTAGCCCGTCCTCCTCAGGGACTTCCAGCCACTGCTGTCACCGGCCCAAGTGGGAGGCCCCAGTGAGCTCAGAGAGCAAGCAGGCGGGCAGGAGGGGCTCCCCCAGCCCCTCGCCTCACCCCTCCTCCTCCCTGCAGATACTCAAAGCTTTCAGACCCAGCGAACTGGCTACATATTAATGCCACCAACGGCCAGATCAGCACGGCGGCCGTGCTTGACCGCGAGTCTCTCTACATCAAGAACAACGTCTATGAGGCCACTTTCCTCGCGGCTGACAATGGTGCGCCCAGGGGCAGGGAGATGTGCTGGGTGGGGGTCTGTGAGCGGGGCCCCCTCAGCCACTGGTGCCCCGGAGCCCCTCCCTCATCCATTCGCAGCCCGCCTCAGCCAAACAACACGATTGTTACTGTCAGGTTGGAGATGCCACCAAAAAGCAGGACCACGGTCAGCAGAGGACAGAGGGAGCAGCTCTGGCCAGCCGGCACCAGTCCACCCACACCGTGGGCCTGCACCGAGGCAGGGGCTGGGCTTGGGGGCTCCAGGGCGACCACACGTCTGCAGGCGTATGCCGCTCATACGTGGTGCGCAGCTGAGTCGCTGTGTATGTCACACAGCAGAGTCAGTGTATGGGGCCATGGGGTGTGTCCTGGGCAGGCCTGTGCTCGCGGAGCCCAGGAGTGACCGCGTGACTGCCCACGTCCGACCCACAGGGATCCCCCCGGCCAGTGGTACTGGGACCCTCCAGATCTACCTTATCGACATCAACGACAACGCCCCTGAGCTGCTGCCCAAGGAGGCGCAGGTCTGTGAGAAGCCCAGCCTGAATGCCATCAACATCACAGCGGCTGATGCTGACGTGGACCCCAACATCGGGCCCTACGTCTTTGAGCTGCCCTTCGTTCCGGCAAGCGTGCGCAACAACTGGACTGTCACCCGCCTCAACGGTGAGCCCGCCTTGGGAGCCCACCCTCTGGCTGCCTGGCCACCGGGAAAGTCAGACCGAGTCCGGAGGGCAGCCCCATCTAGGCCTGTCACCAGGGAAGCAGGAGCAGTGGAGTCAGGAGCCAGTCTCACAGGGGCTGCGCAACCCTCTCCTGCAGGGCAGGGGCCCTGCCTACTCCAGGGCTCAGCCACCAAGGAGGCCCCAAGGCAGGCCCCAACCTTGTCCTTTAAAGAGCTCCACGTGACCATTCTGCCACTGTAACCGCATGTGACCGAGACCACTCCCCGAGCCAGTCATTGAACAATGCCCCCCCACCACCACCACCAGGTTCCCTGAGGCACTTTCCTAGCCATGGCCTTGGTGGACAGGGCTTTCAAGTTCTGGAGTTCTGATAGCATTTACTTGTTCCCCAAACCCTTGCCAACACATCATTGTTTTAAAATCATTTTTCTAATTTCTTAGCCAAAATCACTGTTTCCACTTGCATCTTTTAACTACCAGTGGACATTTTTTCATCTATTTGCCATTTTTTGCTTCTGTGAACTATCTGTTCAATGTCCTTCACTATTTTTCTTTGGAATGGGTTTTTTTCCCCTAATTGACTTGGTAGAACTCTTTCTATGTTAAGGAAATAATTCCTTCATCCTACATGTTGCAAGTGGTCTATTCCTGAATTGCCAAGTCTCTTAACCTTACAGGACAACAGATGGTGTGTGGTATGTGTGTGTGCATGTGCATGTGTGCCCATGTGTGTCTTAGCCAGACAAGCCGAGCCTCTGCCTGCGTTCGTCTGGCTCAGGAGGGTGGGCTGGCTGCCCACTGAGCAGAGCGCGCCCCGCCCCCACCCAGGTGACTACGCCCAGCTTAGCCTGCGCGTCCTGCACCTGGAGGCTGGGGTGTATGACGTCCCCATCACCGTCACGGACTCGGGGAACCCGCCGCTGTCCCACACATCCATCATCAAAGTCAAGGTGTGCCCGTGCGATGACAACGGTGACTGCACCACCGTGGGCGCAGTGGCGGCGGCCGGGCTGGGCACAGGTGCCATCGTGGCCATCCTTATCTGCATCGTCATGCTGCTCAGTGAGTGCGGCTGGAGGTTCCAGGGCGGGGGGAGGGGGGGGGCACCCTACCCACCAGAGTCTGCCACCAGCCCAGTCCAGACGAGGGGAGTGGTAATGGACACGGGCCCCAGTGGCCACACGTGCCCTCCTTCCACACACTCCCGAGGGTGCACACACACACGCCTGCTCATGGCAGCCCCACCCCACAGCCATGGTCCTGCTCTTCGTCGTGTGGATGAAGCGGCGGGAGAAGGAGCGCCACACAAAACAGCTGCTCATCGACCCCGAGGACGACGTGCGGGACAACATCCTCAAGTACGACGAGGAAGGGGGCGGCGAGGAGGACCAGGTGAGGCTGTGGGGACCTGCCCGGCCCTGCTGAGCACACCCCCGGGGGGCCCTGTGCCCCGACCCGCACCTCCCTCAGCCACTGACCCCAGGCCAGTGCCACCCTGCATCCTGGGGCTCGTTGAGGGGGACCTGGGAGCTGTGGGGTGGGCCTCACTGGGGATTTGGGGTGAGCCTTACCAGGGTCAGCTGGTCAAGAATCCACCTGCAATGTGGGAGACCTGGGCTCAATCCCTGGGTTGGGAAAATTCCCTGGAGAAGGAAAAGGCTACCCACTCCAGTATTCTGGCCTGGAGAATTCCACGGACAGCACAGTCCATGGGGACCACAAAGAGTCAGACTGAGCGACTTTCACTGTCTCTTTACCCCATGGAAGCTTAGAGATCCTTGTGAAGTGGGGTAACAGCGGTCCCAGGTCAGTGACGTGGTACAGAGCAGGTGAGGGGTGGACCTGGGTTGGGGGGGGCTGGGGGCACAGACCCCACATGTGCCTTGAGGACAGACAGGATCTGATGGACAGAGGCGAGGCAAGCCTTTCAGGAAGGACAGACCAGGTGATAGAGCTGGATGAGGATGCGCCCCATGGACCTCCCCGGTGTCTCTGCCTGCTGTCCCCCACCCTGGGCCCCCTCGCGGACTCCACCACCCTCCCCACAGGACTACGACCTCAGCCAGCTACAACAGCCAGAGGCCATGGAGCACGTGCTGAGCAAGGCCCCCGGAGTGCGGCGGGTGGACGAGAGGCCCGTGGGCGCCGAACCCCAGTACCCAGTCAGGCCCGTGGTGCCCCACCCAGGAGACATCGGCGACTTCATCAACGAGGTGGGTGGTCTGGTGAGGGGATGGGGGGGCCGGGGGGCACACTTGCTCACACGGACCAGAAAAGCTCACTTTTCTGTGAGAGGGGTGGTGTGAGGAGGCAGATTCAGACCTGGGTTCACTGAGCCCTGCCTGGGGGTATGGTGGGGGGCAGGCCAAGCCCTGCCCCCCAGCATACCCACTAGGAATGGCCTGGGGGGTGGGCATTCATCCAGAGCCACCCCCTGACCACACACTTGAGGGCCCCTCCTGACATCTGGGATCTGAAGTTCCAGCCAACAGGGTCCCTCCCTTAGCTTGCTCCCCCCCAGTCTTGATACTAAACCCAAGGTGCCCACCTGCCAAGTCCACGGGCATCAAGGACGTGCCCCACCTCTGCGCATCTTCCTTTGTGGGAAAGGGGGGCACGGCGAAGCCAGTGTGTGGCCGACTCCCCCGCCAGGCCAGTCTGTAAACCTTGCTCTACTCTGAGCTCTGAGACCCCTTTCACGGACATACGGCAGCACTTACTGAGCACCTACTGCACGCACGGCCCCGTCCCACACTCTAACCCCGTTTCTGTGGCCCCAGGGACTGCGCGCAGCCGACAATGACCCCACGGCGCCCCCGTACGACTCGCTGCTGGTGTTTGACTACGAGGGCAGCGGCTCCACAGCGGGCTCCGTCAGCTCCCTGGACTCCTCCAGCTCCGGAGACCAGGACTACGACTACCTGAACGACTGGGGGCCCAGATTCAAGAAGCTGGCGGACATGTACGGAGGCGGTGAGGAGGATTAACAGGCCTCCCCGCCGGACGCAAGGATGGATGGACGGACGGACGGACGGGAGGAGCAGGACTGGAGGAGGCAACGGGCCTTCCTGACCCCCAAGGCCATGTCACTCCGTGGTGGGGGTCCCCGCCTTGCCCCCGCCCCAGCTGTCTGGCATGAACACTTGACCCGCGGCTGACTCAGCACTGAGGAGAGCAAGAGGCACTCTGTCTTAACTTGAATTTCTTAGGACAGAAGCACTGTTTTAAAAAAAAAAATGAAAGTGCCTTTTGGTACATGTATCAGATTCCCTCAAACTCAGGAGCGACTAAAAGCAAGCAGACAGACCCCCCACCCGGTCCTGAGCGCCCCTAGCCCTGGCTAGTCCCAGCTCTGAAGGCACCAATTAAGGAATTGGGAAGAATGTGTCCTTTTTTTTTTTTTTAATCTTTTATCAAGAAAACAAATGGGTGACTCGCTTAACAAAATTGACAAAGAACAATGGGTCCAAACCCCATCAGCCCCTGAGTCCTCATGCTTTGCTGTCCACAGTCAGGGTCTCCTACCCCATGGGGTCCCCAGGTCAGCACGAAGACCCACCTTCAGCTCCTGCAGCAGCGAGTCCCCTGGGTGCGGGCCAAGCCCGTGGACCCAAGACCCACTGTGACTCTGACTTTTGCCCCGACTCCCAGAAGCTGGAAACAACTGGGGCCATCCCTGATGTTCCCCATGGCTGCCCCTGGCCATCCCCAGGGCCCCCCAGTCAATCATTAGGCCTCCCCCAGGGCCAACTGTGACCCTGAAAGCCACCCAGGTCCCCACTATCTGGGGTCCAAGAGAGTATGGTGTCCCAAGAAACCACAAGCAAAACCAGCCAGCATCCCACCCACCCCTGGCATGAGCCCTCCACCCTCTCAATGAGACTCCCAAGGAACCCCAAGTCAAAGGCCCCCAAACACTCACCAGTCCAGCCCCCGAAGGCTCTGGATGTCTCTGGACACTGGCAGGGCTGCACCGACCACAGGGAGAGCTGATGCTCACTTGGGGTCCAGAAACCATCACAGCCAGCAGGAGACACTGGGGTCTGCCTCAGCCCTGCCCCTCTGGACCGGTCTCTGGAACCCAGGAGCTGACGAGGATGGCAGAGGTCTACTCCAATGCCGGGACAGTCCCATCATCCGTGCCATCCATCCCACACATGTGTCTGGGCCACGCCTGCTGGGAACAGTCTCCTTTCCTTTGGACCCACGTCAGCACCCAGCAGCTGCTGGGCCAGTTAGCTGCTCAAGCTCTCAACCTGGATGTGCCCTCTTGATGGGCAGTGTGACTCTCAAGCCAGACTCCAGGCTCAATTCCACAGGAGAGCAAGAGGCGCTGTGTCCCAAGGACCCACCGGAGCCCCTGCTATGTTTGCCAGGGTTGCAGGGGGTGGGCACCTAGAGGGGAACTGGTGAGAAAATGCCCTGGAGCAGCTTCTCCCCCAAGCATCACCCAGGGATAGCCTGTCTGGTATGAAGGCACCTGGGCTGTCTGGAGAGGCCCCTCCAGGGGAATCCTCACCTGCTCTCGGCTCCCCAGCAGGACTTGGAGTCGGGCCTGCCCTGGAGCCCCACCCTGGGCCCGCTCCTGGGGTCAGGCCTCCAGAGGACCTGAGACAGGGGTGCCCATACTCCCCATGTTCTCCATGGAGGGGGTCTTTGATCCACACCCCCGCCCATGGCCTGCCCCCAATGCCATGGTCATCCTCTTTTCTAAACAGCTTCAGCCTCAAAGATGAACTTGAGTGTACACGTGTGTGTGTGTGATCTGCGTGGGTGTGTCTCCGCTGGACGTCAGGGTCTTCCCCAAACCAAACTCCTCGCCAATTCCATCCACTCTCCCAGGGCTGAGCCGAGCTGGGGAGGCGACTCGGCTTGTAGCCTGAGGGAGGCAGGTCCATCCTGACCCCATCCACAATGGCCCAGAGAGGGACGAAGGGACAGGTGGATGGAGGCAGCGGCCGCTTGGGTCATGTACTGATGCCCCCTGGCACACAGCCCATCTCAGACCTGGGTGGGTAGCCTGCCGAGGTGGGGGGATACCTGCTTCCTGCTATGCAAATCGCTTGGGGTCAGACAGCCAATGAAGATTGTCCCAGCACCTGGGGGCGTGGCCATTTGAGGACTGCTAGTGTCCTCAGGGTTGGTGAGATGTGAGCTGGAATCTCGCGTTTGTTTTTGCAGTCAAAGTTCTAAGTATGAATATGGGGTGGGGGACCCAGACAGCTGTGAACTCTCCCTACTGGACTCCTGAAGCCTCCTTGGGTCCCCAGGGTCCTGGGCTTACCCCAGGGATGGGGTGCCAGGCCCAGGCCACAGCTCGTTGTCCTGAACACCAGCCCCCCAGCCTCCCTGCAGCTCCTCTTCCCCCTCCTCTCATCACTGCCAGGCCCCCACCCCACAATCTGTCTATGTTACACAGGCCCCATCCCTGCTCCCAGGCAGCCGGAGAGCAGCCCCTCCTCACCTCCACCCCAGACAGCCCCTGGAGACCCCCACCCCCTCCCAGAAGCATCCGGGAACTCTGTCCCAACCAACGGTTAGCATTAGCTACACAGTCAGTGTCAAACATTTCTCACGTAGCTTATAGATGCGACGGGTCCAGACTAGGAGGGGCGGCCAGAGAAGGCCTGGACTCAGCGCTGGCAAGGTGCTCGGGCAGGTCCTTTGCCCGCAGAGATTTTTGTTCTTGTGACCAGGACTCACCTGCAAGGACATCCCAGCCTTGAGAAGCAGGCATCCCCAGCCTGGGGCCTCGAGCCTATCAGGCCTCGGCAGCCCTTCCCCATGGCCCAGCCGGCCTTCCCCTTCTCGTGTTCTCAGAACACCCAGGCGCCAGGCCTCCCACCGCCAGAGCGTCAGGGTCCCAGCCAGCCATCAGGCTTCCCTACTGTGAGCACCACTGACCCACCCAGGTCTTCGAGACAACTCTGTTCTCTCTGAGGGGAAACGTCAGGGAGGGGAGTCTTGGGTTTTGTCAAGGCTGAAAGGAACACCAAAAAAGCAAACACAGTCTCCCCCACGAAGAGCGCCCTGTCAGACAGTCTCTGGCCACGTGGTGTACATACAACAGGCCCCGCGATGCCGGGATCCCGTGGGGGGACCACCTCTGTGTATAATTGGAACGCGTTTCGCTTTTCCTTTCTCTCTCCTTTTCCCATTCTGATTTTTTTTTTTTTTTGCATGTTTCTTTCTGACAATGGACAACATGTGTAGCAGCCCGCATGACTGTGGTTGTTCTGGGGAAAGATACTGGAGTATGATGTATTCTCACTGCAACTCTGAGCATCGCGCAGTTAGACAAACGTTCCAACTTTTTTTGTAATCGTCAACAGCACAACTATTTTGTATTGTTGTTTGTATCATTTTGTACCAAAAAAAAAAAAAAAGGAAAAAAAGGGAAGAGCGTTGATGTTTTCAATGTGTTTTTAGTGCCAGGCGGTCTTGGTTCCACACTGCGCAGTGGCCCCGCAGGGTCGTCGTGTGCGGGAGCAGATGCTGCTGCAGGGGAGTAAATAAAGCCCCCCTTTTACGCAGTCGGCCTCACCCTGGTTTGTTTTTCTTCAAGTGTCCCTGTGAATGGCAGATGGATGAACACAGGGGCTTTGGTGTCGAGAGTGGGACTTGCTTGCTCGGCAAATATCTCAGGACCTGCTGTGTCTCGGCCTCCATTCTGGGCTCCAAGCACAGCCTTCAACAGAACCAGGCTCCTTACACGGCTGAGGCCCAGGGGTGTGGACAAGCAAGACCCAAGCACCATGCGTCTAAATATGGTAACGTTCCTAGAAGGTATAAACCAAGTTAACAAACTGCTAAACAAGGTGCGTCCCACCTCCTGCCTTGGCAGACATACCTTCGTAACAGCAGGAAAGGCCTGGGTCACGTTGAGGATTCTCCTGCCCCTCTGATTCTCCGTGCGCCTCCCACCTTCTCCCCACCACAGGGGCTCTTCATTCCAGCCCAAACTGCAGCCTCAGCCCCATGCCGGTCAGAAACCCCAAGGCAAGTGGGTCCAGTCCTCCAATGCTCTCACAGCGCAGCCCGCCCTTGACTACTGGCCTGAGTCTGAGCTGTGCTGGCTCACACTTTGCTGGTCACAGAGCCACACAGGGGACCCCCAGGGACACTGCTGGGGCTCTGCCAGCCTCAGGGAAGCAGCTCGGAAAGGCTGAGGGGTGCCCAGCTCAGCCAGTACTAAGTGATGCAGTCAGACCCGCAGAGGGAGCCCCAACCACCCCCACCAGGCCTTTCTGGGGCTCAAATCACAGCTAATCACAGGCGCAGCTGACAATCACAGGCACGATTAGCACTTGCCTCTAATGACATTCACAATTAGGCAACTGCTGTGGGCCTGGGATAGGCAGTCAAAGAGGGGTCTGGCACAAACTCCTTGTAATCAGACCCCCGGGGCAACGCCCGGGGGGGTCATTCTGCTTAAGGTCACCCCTCCCAGCTCCCCAAGTGGCTCAGCAGATTCTTTACTCAGCAGGTAAAGAATCTGTCTACAATGCAAGAAACCTAAGCAGGAGATGAGGGTTAGACATGGGTTTGATCCCTGGGTGGAGAAAATCCCCTGAAGGAGAAAATGGCAACCCACTCCAGTATTCTTGCCTGGGAAATCCCAATCCATGGGGTCGGAGGCAGAGGCCTGGCTGTCCCTAACAACCAGGCTGGCTTGAACAACCACAAAGGCCAGCCTGGGGCCTCTCAGAAGCCAGGCAGCCCCTTCTCTGACCCCAAGGCCTACCCTTGGGTCATTTTGTTAGAGAGAGGTCACTACCCTTGCCTACATGTGGACACAGGCCCAGGAGGGCAGTCAGAGCAGTCAGTTCACAGGTGAGCACTGGCAAAGCCCCTGGTGCCTCAGCTGCTCGACCAAGGAGGCCGGGTTCAGCCAGCAGTTGGGGGAAGGGGCAGACTCTGGGACCGACGTGTTGGGGGATGCACACAGGAGGCCACGGGAGGCAGTGATACAGGATGGCACTCCATATGCCCCAGCCACATGGCAGCCCCCCACCACAAATCCGATGCCCACCCCCAAGAAAGCTTCCTTGACAGGAGAAGAGCCTGAGCAGAGGAGGAGCCAAGGCTCAGAGAGGGACGGAGAACAGGGCCAAGAGAAGAGGAAATGGCTGTGTGGGTGAGGGCAGGATGTGGGAGGCAGGTGGTGGACTGACCCCATGGAGGCCCTGTTCCAGCTCAGCCCAGGCGTGGGGAGGACCCGCACTCAGCTCTGGCCACATGGCTGGATACCCTGTGCCGGCAGCAGGATGGTCTGGAGCTCAGGGAGAGGTCAAGTGGGACGGACGGGGGGTCATCAGGGCACAGTGGAAAGTGGACACCGTGAGCGGAAGCAGTCACATGTCCCAGGAGGGGGTGATAAGGGACAGAGCGGAGACTCAGGGCTGAAAACCCCCAGGTTGATGCTGGCGGGCCCTACAGAGGACAGACTGGTGGGCAACTACACCCCAGGGAGCTGCTTTTGGAACCCAGCAGAACCCTGTGCCCCTCCTTCCCCACACACACACACACGCAAAGGCCCCTCCACATCTCGTCTCTCTCTGTAGAAAAGCTGAGTCTCCCAGGCCTCCCAGAGTCACAAAGGAGTGGCTCCAGCAGCTAGTGAATACTGCATAGTCACAGACTCAATGTGGACGCACGACTAAAATTGTCAGCAAAGACATGCTACACACCCATGTCGACAGCTTCCACTCTGAGAATATGGTGCCCTCTATTAACATGCAGGGCTTCCCTGATAGCTCAGTTGGTAAAGAATCTGCCTGCAATGCAGGGGACCCTGGTTCAATTCCTGGGTGGGGAAGATCCGCTGGAGAAGGGATAGGCTACCCACTCCAGTATTCTTGTGCTTCCCTTGTGGCTCGACTGGTAAAGAATCCGCCTGCAATGCAGGAGACCTGGGTTGAAAAGATCCCCTGGAGAAGGGAAAGGCTACCCACTCCAATATTCTGGCCTGGAGAATTCCATGGACTGTATAGTCCATGGGGTCACAAAGAGTTGGACATGACTGATCAACTTTCACTTTGATGGACTTCACCCCTGATCCCACAGAAATGGAATAATTTTCCAACAAGTGGGGATTTGTAAGAAGCTCTTTGCAAGAAAGAGCTCTTTGCAGGAGGCCCTTTTGCCTTGTCACTAACCTCAAACCAGGCACCCCCATGCTCTGCTCATCTCTGGCCCAAGCACACCTTTCAAATCTTTGATCACACAATCCCTGGCCTAACCTATTGGGTTTCTCCATAGATCAAAGACATAGAAAGGAAGACCAAGCAATTAATAGATAACCAGGGCTCTATCCCAGCTTCCCCCTTCAGTAATCTCATGAACAAAGTACATGAACAAGACAGCAACTGAGCAAAGATCACAAGGAGCCAAAGAGCCTGCAGGCAGTGGGGGCCAGCCCCCATCTCCATGATTAACTGACCTCACTTCCTCTTTCCCCCTTAAAACCCTCATGGACAAGCAGAATCTTGGGACTCCGTTTTGGGGGACAGAGTCCCTTCTCCCCAGATGGCTAGTTTTCTGATTAAAAGCACCATTTCCATTCCTGCCAACACATGCCAATCCAGTATTGATTTTTGAGCAGTGAGCAGCCAGAACTGAGTTCAGTAACATTTTCACTTAAGAAAAAAAAATAAACTTTCACCCTGAACCCAATTTTAACTGATAAACACAGGCTGGGCGCTATCTCACAAGAGCCCGGAGCACTCTCAGCTCTCCCAGGCTCTCCTGGCTATCCCTTCCTGCTCTCTCATCCTCTCTCAACCCCTAAGTGCCCTCTCCCCCAACACATCACCCTCCTCCATCTGCTCAGGGACATGCCCCCGGGAGCTGCCCCCATCACAACAGCCCAGAGCTGGGTGAGAGAGGTGAAGGAGGGCTCAGGTGCCACAGATCTGCCCCAGCAGGCCTGTCCACAAAGGCAGGGGTGCTGCCAGCTCACTGGACCTACCCCCATGGCGCCCAGGGCAGGCCTCTCAAGCACAGCCCTGAAGCACCTCAGTCTGGGGAAGAGGGGTAGTGCATGGGCACAAGCAGAGTTCTCTCTTGACCCTCCATACTGCAGCTTGAAGCAGCCTCATCAAAGACGGAAGGGCCCCTGAGCAAGGGTGGGGTAAGTAGTTCAGCCAGCCCCCTTTGGAGGTGAGGCCAAGGCCAAGGCCCCCAGGGGGGCCCACCCTGGAATGAGAGGGCCTGAAGACCACCCTACACTCCCTGTACCTGCTACCCTGGCCGGCAGCTCCCTGGAGGCCTGGGTGGCAGTAAGTTCATCTTGACCCAGGCCCTTAGGGGTTGGATCGGAGTCGGGGACACTCTGCAGCCTGGGGGCCTCCTAAACACTGACTCATCTGGACAGCATCAGACCTCACCAAATAAGGGTCCTCAAGGTTGACCCTGAGGAAGCAGGAGGTCCTGGACACTCGCTAAAGTGGGCAGGGATGGCTGGGTGTCAGGGTCACTTGCGCACAGCCAGTCATGTCCACCCCCTCTGCCCTCCCTCCCAACCCACGTGCTCCATCACCGCCCCACCAACCCTGTCCCCAACCCGCCCCACCACACACACACACACACAGAGGAGCTGTCCTGACACACACACACACAGGAGCTGTCCTGACTCACACACACACACACACACACACACA